ACCTCAATCTCATTCGAAAGGATTCGCCAGCTTGATAATATTAAAAACAAAATTATCAATAATATTATGTCTAAAAAGTGCAGACGCAATTGCATGTTTGTTATGGGCATCAAATATGAATTTAACTCGATAATTTAGCATTAATATTTTCTCTTTTTCCAACAACAACTCATCTCTTTTGGCAGTCTTTTATTAAATTTATTATTTTTTTGTTCTTGCTCCCCAGCATTCTGAGTCTGTGACAAACAGACATGGACACCACTCAGTTGAAACAGGAATTTGAGAAGGCTAACACCAAGTTAGATAGGTTATAGTTAGAAGTTTTAAGACATGGAGCAAGAGAAGAGTACCAAGGGGAGAAGAATGTCTTGGAGCTGCAAGAAACTTTTTGGCTGGGAGAAAAGAAGAAGTGGGGAGATGCTTTAGTTGCTGCTAGTACTCAGCCAGGTAACGCCTTTGTGACTCAGTGTTGGGGACATAGAGTAGTGATCTATATCCTTCATGGATACTTAATATTAAAGTGGGATGAATTACAAAGTCATTGCTGTCTTGGTCTTAGTCTGTAGTTAATGGTTGTTTCATTATTTCAATGACTTTCTCAACACATTTCAGTATCTCATCAAGATATGTCCCTGTGTGTTTTGTTGATTTGGTAAAGTAGATGAAGGAATTATTATTATGTAGTAGTAGTGGTAGTCATTTACAGAGGTCTCAAAAGCATTATCATTTGTGGTGGAGGGGTTGAAAGTATTATTATTTACAGAAGTCATGTTGGTTGAGGGTGTCATAATGTTGAAAGGGTTGTTTTTAATCATTTCCATAAAATCGTAGTTTATTGTATAGCTCAATATCATGAGATACTGTTGATGATGGAGACGTGATATATGAAGAAACAGATGAGGTGGCCCAATCTTCCCCAGATAAAGTAACAACATCATTGTTGCTAGTTTAACAGAGAGTATTTGTGTACATAGGGCAGATTAGATAGTAATAGAGAGTAATACTGGTTTCATACATAGAAGAGAATAGGTGTAATAATATGATGATTAATTTTTTTCTTTTTTTCTTTTTTGTTGGCTATGTCATAACTGTGCTGCATCAAACTATGCACATTTTCTCTTGCTTAGTTAAGAGAAAACAACCATCTCTGGATGAAACAAGTCACATGGGCCATTATCCTCCAGAATCAGATGAAGGTCGAGACAGTCTGATGGTTATTTCTCCATGCCGGTTGAAGATGATTGATGAATTTATGACAGCTAACCGATTTAGCCTCCTACGCAGCCCCCCATACACGGGCAAGACCACACTTGGTGTGGTGTTGCGAGACTATTTCCTTGCTCTAAATCATAAAGCTGTATACATTTCCTTGGCTGGCATGGCTGGAAAAGAAACTCGCTTCAACGAAAATTTGTTTCAGCATTATTGGAAGGAGAGGGTGGGCCATACCTGGGACGAGATTATTCGATGGACAGAACCTACCGAAATCATCATTGACGAGGCACAAATTATCTACGGCGATTGCGCACCATTCTTTTGGGGTGATTTGAAAGAACTTATGTCAACCCCCTGGGAAAATATCACCCTCCGAGTGTTGCTGCTGGCCACATATGATCCAGCACTCAATTCTCAACCGAGTCCGGTACATTTCACGAACACTCTCGGACTGGACGCTCTTCGTATTACATCAGATGAGTTCGAACGGCTGGTAGCCACATTTGTCGAACGACGACGCGCTCTAGGTAACGAAGCCTTTGGAATTCCAACACCGGTTAAAAAAGCAATATTCAACCTTGCCAATGGTCATGCTGATCTATGTCGATTTGCGCTGACATCCATGCACCATATGTTTCGTGATAATGATAGTGACTCTGCGGTAAACATGCTACGATATTTAGCCTCATCACACTTCCGAACAGCATTGCAATGCACACGTGCTTTTGTTTGGACCCAAAATTGGAGTCCGACAGTTCAGGAATCCGAGTTTCTTAGCAAAATCTTCCTTTCATGTGATTCCGAATCGTTCTGTAATGTCGGTGTAGACTCAAATCCGGTTGCCAAGTCCTTTTTTAAATTGGGCCTTCTTACTACTATCAACCATCGATCACTGTTTACCGCTCCAATCATGCGGATCGTTTTGGGTCATTGCCTATTTACTGTATCTGGTGGCTCAAAATCATCGCCTGCAATAACATTTGACGAATTTGTGATGAGAACAATTGAACGTATGAAACCATCCATTCTAAGCAAATCACTTGGCCGAGGAACTGACCAAGAATCTTACCTCCTAGAGAGAACTTGGCAAATGGAATGGTATCGCGCGGCTACAAGCGCCGTTCCTGTGAATGCGACAGTTAGTCCAGATGTTGGGGGCGTTTTTGGCTCAGTAGGATTCTTGGACTTCTATGTCGATGGAGATCTCTGCTGGGGAGTTGAGCTACTGCGGGAGGGTGATCGAATGAAAGAGCATAGAAAGCGATTTGCACAAGATGGCGAATACAAAAACATTCCACTGAAGGAATGGGTCATTATTGATTTCCGACATCAATCCAAACCTATTACGTCCTAACTTTTGGCATGCATTATACTCAGACGATTGCAAACACATCACTATCAAACGCCTCAATCACGATAATCAAACCATTGCTTTACGTGGTGATGATTACATGCTATCGTCCTGAAAATCAACTTATATCAACCTTGTAATCTGTATAGAATTAATTCATTACATGTGATATCGTATCAACTGTGATATCTTGAACACACGATAAGTCTTAAAGCTATAATCGATTATCTGCATACAAATGGCTACTCAGAATCCTTTATATTATCCAAGTTAGGAATATTATGTAGCTTATTAAATAAAGATTTGCAATAATCACGGAGTAATTCTTCCTGATATGAACATGCTAAAATATATATAGGACCACCCGCATATGAAAAATAGTGAATACAATAGTTCGACTGAATATGAAAAGGCAATACGTTTCTTGGAGTTAGGTTGCAATTGTGGTTGCTTGAAAATGATTCCAAGGGAAAAGTTTGCCGAATTACGTGAAGCGTTTCAAGCTCTCTTTAGATCGGAGCAAGACATATTTTTAATGGCCCAACTGAAAGCAATGAATGGTGGAGAAATAACTGCCAGTCGACGTCTTAAAGGAAAATACGTGCTGATAAGAGAACGTTTTATTATCGAGACGCAATACGCCTCTGTGTTAGGAATTGGTCGTACTCATTTCGAAAACGTCTGAAATCACCTAGCGACGATTGGTATAATACCGCGCGACGTAAAAAAAGTGCCGCGATGGAAAACCAAAATAATCATTGATATAACCATTAGTTGGTGTTTATTAGTTGTTATTTTCCGTTCTTCTTGAGAAATTTCACAAAGTGTATTTTTTTTATCTAGATATTCCTGGAGAGTTTGGGGTATTATTAATTTTAAAACGTAAGGCGCGATTTTCCTTTCTTAAAATGCTTTTAATTGTGCTATAATTTATGTTTCATGGTGAAGATTAATATCATATTAATTTTTTTATATAGAGACAATCCTAATTACTAATATGAACTCTAATACTGTTATAATATTAGTCATAGCACGTTTGACATTAAAATTAAATTAACACAAAATAGAATGCAAATAACATTTATCTTGTATCTATGAATTTATGCGTCACAACTATGCCACCAAAGCTGAAAAACCTGCCACTCGAACAAAGTTTTCGGCCAACGCCGACAAACCATAATAAAATGTTCACTTTGGTTACAGTCGGTCCTATTACTATATTAATATGCTATATTGATGAGGCTTTTCTATGATAATAAACTGCATTGTCCCTTTCACGTCCAAAGTTTTAGCTAGAATCCTGTTATCATGGTTTCCTAAACGACCAGCTACTAACGGTATGCCATATCCGCCATTATTGACTATTACAACAAAAAAGTTCAAAGCATCTAAATTCCAGTTCTTGTGTGCATACCACTCTAAACAAAGAAAGATTCTCAAAGAACTAGAAAGCATGAAAACCAGGAAAGGTGGCTTAGGCGAATAAACCTATTTATATATTAAATCCTTCGGGGAACTAAGGATGCCGATTTAGCTACGCGTTTATTTGTCAACACTCGATTATGATGTTTCTAGACCCGCCTTGGGAGGCGATCGCCTAAGCTCGCTAGACGATTAATTTTCGTAATCTTTCCCCGCAATATTGCTTTACCCAAAATGCAATCAATTTTAAGGTTTCAACCTGAAATAGCAAATTGTTCTTCAAGCTACATCCAAGGGAAAATATCCAAGTAATATCATGGGTAATTGATATATGCTCAAGAAAGCATGCGATAGCTTTTGGTCATGAGTACTCAAACCAAGTTTGTAGAGAAATGCGTGCAAACCAGATACCATGTTTATCGACAAGAGCTTTCTGGATAGTGCAAATGCTGCACTCGCGATTAGCAGGATCATGGATAGTTTTGCGTAGTTTGATAATACCTTGGTCTTGGAGTGTCTTCATTTATTCACTACAAACTCTAATCCGAGAATAGTTTCTTAATATACATTTGGATGACCAATTTTTTTCTTTACTATGATCAGCGCCTACGATCTTCGCTTAGAACCCTGTTGTCGTTTTTCAACTTTAAGAATTCGATCAACCTAATGCGTCTGTTTTTTAGAATCCCTTGTTTGATTTTTCAATAGGTCCAGAATAAGGTTATAATTGTGATTAAAGTTAGTGTTGAATTTAAGGTTACTTTAAAAAAATGTATATGTTCTGTGATTTGCATTACTATGTTATATGTTTATCAAACATCACCAATAATGTGATTTTCTATCTAACGATTTATGTACTCCGCTTTCAATTGTATAACATTACTTCCCAATGATTCGCGAGCAAGAACAGTTAAACTGAATAATCGCCAGATTGTTCCGTATTGAATGTTATTCGGGTGAAACAACCTTTTTTGGTGGGCAAACTAAGTTGCTTTCGGACTTTAACGCTGACATGACATAGTTTATCCGTAACTAAGCCTGCATCTAGAACCACGTAAAACAAAGAAACCCAAAAGCCCCATTTTTTTACATAGTTAAAGTTGAGATGTGTATCTGGCACCCGCATCTCAACCTTGGCTTTAGGAAATGTTCAAGTGCTGACCCGAAAAGACGTACAATAGTTCTCTACAATCATATTTACAATTCCAACAACCATCACCTCGCTGGTTTATAGTATTTGAGTAGATACACAGACTTGGTACTTTGAACAACGTTGGGACATCCCATTCCCCACATCCCCTACACTGGATGACACACCCCCCCCTTTGAATTTGTAACAGTTGTGATGTATAATATGATCGATGATTTATGGTTTTCTTTTTTCAAGTGGCCCGGCAATTTTATTTCTTTCGCGGCCGTCACATTAGTATTTGGATAATTTTTGGCTAATTTTTGAGGGGTAAGAGGCTTGTTATGTTGTATGAGATATATCGATGAGATAAATAATGGTAACAGCAATACTGCGCCCATTTGATAATAAAATAATAGAATCAACTAAATAAGATATTAATAGTAGTATTATTTTTGATGCTAATTCATATCAAGCATCCAAAGATCAAAGAATATCACCCGCCTTTTACTTTTCTCCCCTCCCCTCCTTTTTTTTTTTTTCGATTCATGTCTATTGGAGAGTGTCCAGTTTCATTCTATATTCGTTCCATGCCCACCATTCTTGTGTCCACCCCTTGGCCCAAACCACGCCTAAAAACACTTGATCTTCGATCCCATCCACAAGCGAAGATGAATTGCCCGTAACCACGGTATTTTCATCTATTGTTTCGTTATTCTCATCGTTGTTAGCTTGATCCGCTCCATCATTGCCAGTACTGTGAACAGAGACACTTTCGCTAATACCTTTCCCGGCATCGCTATCAGCTATGCTCGAGGCCGTCTGTCTGCCTTTCTCCAGCCTGAATACAAATTCTTGAGCATATATGACCAACCTTTCACCGCCAGCTAGTCGAAACATGTCTTCCAAAGTTTTGTTGCGAGGACCAAATGACCCAAGAAGAGAAGCAACATCGATTCCCGTAATTTGAACTCCGTCGATTTCCAATCGTATCCCGTTGAGGATATTGCGCATGTTCCATCCTGTAGTTAACGAGCGTGATAGTTTGATCTTGGTATCATCACCGTAAATGTCACCCAGGGTATCGAGCGCTTTCTTGTCTTGTTCATTTAGTATCTCGGTATGAAATCGTATGGTAGAGTCTGTGCTGTCTATATCGATCGTAAGAACCGCTCCGGTAAAGAACTCGACTGCCGACGGACTGGCCAGTTTCGATTTAATAAATTCCTTGTGTATCGGGACGTCTCGAAGTGAAAGGAGAATCTTGTCTTGTGAGGTGAACGGATCTTTATACCGTAAAGGTGTCGGGGTCTCGGCCTGAAGCAGTCTTGCCAATCTATCTAATCCGTAGAAACGAGCGTCTTCGAGCAAGCTTTCGCGGAACAAGTCTAGTGACATGCCAGGTGGAAGGTTTACCGAAGATAGGGGAAATATGTTGTATCCACGCAAATATCTCAAAATCACTTCGAATAATCGGGGATCCCTGTCTATTTTCAATTCTCTGACGACCGGAACAGTTGTCAAGGTATCCGGAGTAGTCTGGGTACTGACGTCAATATTATCCATGACGTTTGTCGTTGGCGTTTCGGTACTATACGCTCGGCCGGCCACACCGTCTCGTTCTTCTTCGTTGTCGTCAGATCCGTTATTAGACTTTTTGTTAAGGTCGTCCACCTCATCTCTGAGAAAACTCTGAGTGAAAAAGTTGGGAGAGTCAAAGATAATCGAAGAACGATATAGTCTGAACATCTGTTCCCCCACATATACGGTATACGAGTTTGTTATTGCGGGCGGGAGATTCGAGAGTTTATTGGAATTGTTTGCAGAAGCTGCAAGAGTAGAGGTAGTCGACATGTCGGAGACGGAAGAAGGCTCGGGCGGAAGTAACTCGGGCATAACAACTAGTCGAATGCTAAGGAGGGGAGAGGGTTTCGGTTTATTTCGATATTTGGACCGCTTCCAATGTTTTACAGCTTCAATGTTTGAGGGTACACGTGTACAACAATAGTCGGGATACAAAATACAATCACCTGACGATGGATTTTTTGACGAGATTTTTTTGGCGAGAAAACGAGAATTTTTTTTCTTTTCCAACAAAAGATAATTCGTGTGATGGATAACAAGTTTCCTTTATTTACGGAGGTAAGTGATTCAAAACTTTTTACAATCTGTGGGAGACTTACTAGGGAGAATTTTATATACAATAGAAAGAAGGAAAGGTATCGGAGAGAGCAAAGGATAAGTCGTACATACATAGATATGATATATATATATATATATATATATATATATATGATTTTATATATATATATCTTGGCGACAGAACAGAGAAGAAACGTAGAAAGAAAAGTTACAGAAACGGGAGTATAGAAAGTGATTGATTGGTTGATTACTTACAAGAACTGTCGCAAAAATACTGTTGCTTGTTATATATTTTTTTTGTTGCCTAAAATTTTTTCATTGATTTTTGTATATATAAAATAACGAGTTTAGGGTTTTGTTTTTTTTCTTCATAATAGAAAATCAAAATTTTCAAAAAAGACGAAAGAAAATAGAGAAAAAAAAAAAGACAATAAATGTTCTTTTCCTTTGCCAAAAAAATATAAAAATTACTCTAATCGTTTAAAGATAGAATAATAAAAAAAAAAAGTAAATTAAGGTTTTGAGACATAGCTCATACATAAAAAAAAAAGTCTTTTTTATCAGATCCAAGATTTTCCAGTCTTGAATATGACACCGTCTCCACGACTCAACAGAATTGGCCTCGAATGACTATTAAGCTGACTACTCGGACGCCCATTAATCATACGATCGTTCTTAATGATTCCATTACTTCCATTATACAGCAGCTCATCTGGTATCCAAGCCAGAATGCATTCCCGAGATCGATACTCTGTTCTTGGACTTGGTATATCACCAAACCAGACCATTAAATCGCGAGTGTAGTTCTCACCAAAGATGGTGATTGTGTTTGGTATAGTGGATCTAGCGAGTTGGGTGTTTGCGGGTAACGTGTTTGAAGAAGCAGCGGATACTATATTGGTAACACTAGGCACCGGAGTAACTGGTGTCGTCGACGAAGTGAATTGTTGGGTTGGACTGAGCGGTGACGTGGCGTTAACTATCGCTTGCGGACAATAAAAGGTGTATGTTGCGCAATCTGTTGGCCGAAAAAAAAAAGTGTTAATATCGGCATTACTTTGGGGGAAGAGACGTGAATTTACTAACCAGTTCCCACAATAGTCCATACAGCCGAATCAGTAACATCTTCGGTCCATATCGCTCCAGCGTTGGCATCATTATTGGATCGAGAATTCCCAAGCCCCCTCGTGGCTTCTGCGATGCGCGCAAATTCAGGCTCATTTCCCACCGCACTCATGCTATTGACCCTCCGTCTTTTCATTGATGCCTTGGTCATGGAGGTGGTAGGTTTCACGGTAACAGAGGAGGAGACTCGTCTCTTGCGAGAATTAGTCCTAATACCATCAGACGATAAAATAGTACTTTCGCTGAACGGAGCCGCATTGGATGCAAAGGATGTCTGTGCCGCGGCCCACGCTGCTGCTATGGAAGATGTCACGTTCGAACTCTGGGGTATCATGTCGATGAATGGTGCGCTATTGGTGGCTGAAGCTGCCGCGGTAGAAATGAGTTTACGGCCGTCGTTTGCCCGCTGCTGACCGACCACATCACTAAGGCAAGCGAGATAAACTCCTGGACCCGACGGGAAACTCGCACTTGAGCAGTTTGGAATATTGGAAGCCATCATGGTCTCTTGGTCTTTAATCTGGAAAGCCACCTTGTGAAGTTGAGAGACTGGGTCTCCAAGTGCTATATCAAAAACAGGTACATGACGTGATTTTAGTTTTCCCGGAATCCTAGAATTGTTCACAAAACATGTGCATGAAATATTTTCTTTACCTTCGCTCATATATCCGTTATTATCTTCCATCACTGCACCGCCAATTACCATACTCCCCTTGTCCACCTTTCTGATAATCATTACTGGACTGGTGATACCGGTTGACAAGCACTGCAACACAACTGGCTGATTGTAATGTATCGGAATGGGGTTGTTTGGATTATATTTGAGAGCATTGAGCGGAGGCCGAGGGAAGCTTGGATGCGGAGGAACTTGAGGGTCATCCTTGCCCTTGACGTAATTGGTATCGACTATCCAGATGATAAATGGATCCCAACTACCAGTCCGCGCAACAAACGTTCTGCCTTGTTCGACTGGGCTTACAGACGCAAACGCACCATTACTCCAGGGCGCAAAACTCTGCCCGTGACAGTTACCCGAAACGCCGAGATATTTTGTAGAGACCGTCTGCGATCTGATCCTGTTGAACAGGGAGATCGTAGTCCCGTGATGTATGCATACTAGAATGGGAAAGAAAAAGAATGTTGGCATCTGGATTACGCAGTAGGAAAAAAAAACAATTTTTCACCTTGCCGTTATTTTTCAAACTTACACTCCATGTTCTTGACGCTCTGCCTCTTCTTACTGGGCTTGCTGATTACTTTAATAGGCTTGCTAGCAAAGCAACCAAAACTCTGCCCACATGGATTTTGAATTTTAACATTAACTTCGACCCGCTTTCTCTTTTCGTCCGTATCGTTGATGTACAAGTGCTTTGACACACATTTGCCACTAATGGCCATCTCTGAGCAAGATGTCGGATCTAGCGAGGTGCCAGATGGACTGATCCACTCGAATATGCCAGCGTGATGACTCTGTTCGCTGGATATGCCGACAGTAATCCTCGGCGGACTGAGAGACGATGTTTGGGTATGATTGGCATCAGTGCTTGGCGGCGGCGGACACCACCAACTGGAGCCCAGAATGATGGTCGTGGGTGGCGGACATAAAAATCTCTTTTCGGTTCCATACGACTTTTGCGCAACTTTCGAGGTCATCACCATAACAGTCTTTTCTCCCAGGCTGGACGGGTTAGGAGCGCTCAAATACGCGTGAATAATTGGCCTATATAATGTAATAAAAAATGCATGTCAACGATACTCGCAATTGAATAGGACAGGATATGATATGATATGATATGATACAAACCCCATAATGGACACTGTTGTGCTCTGACTTAATCTAGCATTAACACGTGTGTTAATCTCGGGTAGTATGTGTGATGACAAAAAGGCTGTTGATGGAGCAATCGTGGAATTGTTCAATAAATCTTCTTCATCCTCGAGGATGGCATTTCCCAACGAAGTCCGACGAAGATACACGGAATTAGAATTTTGCGGAGATGTAGGAGATTTCGGCGATTTTGGGGTCGACGCCGAATTGCTAGCAGGAGAATCTGCGGATGAAAGCACTGGTGACGTAACATCCGACTTTAGGGAGGCAGTCAGTTGGGTACTTTGCCGCCTGCTCGATATCTGCATCTGACACTGGCTGTGCATTTCCGAACGGCTATACGTTTTGCTGTTAAAGTAATCGGCGGACAATTCGACTTCGATGGTACCTGGAGTGTTTGCGAGCAGTTCGGTAAACGACTGTGGAGAACTGTAGCTCTGCGCCAATTCAACAGCTGCGGGAGGAATCGTCTGAGTCTCTTCTAGCTTTTCACCCGGACTGTATACTAGTAGTTGCGGTGTTGTAGACGCGCTATCGCATCCTATACCGGATTGATCACACAAGGTGGACACGTTTAAATCATGAGAATGAATGCGACCGCTCAAGTCATTAAATGTGTAATTATTAGCGCCGTAAATGTTAGAGTTGACAAAGACGGGAGTAACTGGAGATGGTGTGCTTGCCGACGATTCAGCGTATGCATAATCGGTGGCCATCTGATTATAGTCATCGGATGCAATTTCGAGCGACAGGGGTTGCGGCTTTCTATTATTGCGAGCAGACGAATCGCCTGATGAGCTGATGGAATGAACAGGTTGTTTTTGCAAACGCTCTTGGTTGTCAGATGCTTCCGTTATATGTAAACTGCCACGCCTCACCAGATGCTCTTGTTGTTCTTGTTGTTGTTGTTGTTGTTGCTGCTGTTGTTGATGCTGTTGTTGTTGCTGTTGCTGTTGTTGCTGCTGTTGCTGTTGCTGTTGCTGCTGTTGTTGTTGCTGCTGCTGTTGCTGCTGCTGCCGTTCGTGCAGAGCGACACTAACAAACTCGGCCAGCAAGCCTGTTTGCTGACTACAGTCGAAACCATCATAATTACTCTTGAGGATATCCGACTGCTGTTGACTGTCGACCAAGCCGACGTCGCCATAGGTAATCAGATCTGCATCTGTAGGACTGGTGAGCGGAGTGGGCATTTGATTCTGCTGAAGAGAGGCGATGTTGTAGTGAGTCGCGTACTGTGGCTGCATGTTATATATGGTGCCGTTCTGAAGTGATAGTGTCCAACTGTCCATGCCGAGTGGAGAAAGGTTGCTCACGATAGAAGCGTTATTTTGAGACGGCCAAGCACCGTTTGGATTACACAGCGAGGCACCAGGTTGACAAATTGGGATTTTATGTTGATGTTGAAGCTGTTGACGTTGATGAAGATGTTGTTGATGCGGATGCTGGTGCGTAAGATGTTGTTGATGTTGGCGGAGGGTGCAGTCTACCAGAGCGGAATCATCAGACTTTCTCCTCTTGTTTTGATTGCCGGGCACGGAAGATTCGACAAAAGTCTTGTGAGGTGAAGCCAATTCCATTGCTGCAAAAGAGTCGAGTGAATATGTAGGAAAGTAATCGGATTGATGAATAGAGTCGGAGACTCTGACCATACTATGCGTATTACAAATATAAAGTATTATGAGCAAAAGTAGCGCCCTGTAAGATTATGTTTGAGGCCAAAGAAATGATAAGCAGGGATAAGGACGTATGCTATTAGATAGACTATACAATGCGTTTAATTATGCGAGTTGAGCCAGGTAAAGTATAACTGGGGGGGTTGGTCAGGGGGCGAGAAGGAGGTAGAGTCAAGCTTTAGAGTAGGGGCGAGGAACCGCGTTATAAAAAGTATACAAACAGGTTGTAAGGTCGTAACGTTTGTTATATTTGGGTTCTTTTTTACATTCACGGACGGAGGAGATTATTACTAGACTTGTGCTCGTCTTTGTAAGATAATGCAAAAGGGCATGGGGCTCTCAAAGAAAAGCCAGGAGCGAAAGACTTTCGGGATTTTTTCGTCGTGAAATACCACAACAGAGCAAAAGGCACACTTCATATTTATGGTGATTTTAGTTTACGCTCGTTGATCTATCCGTCCAATTATATTACACACAGTCTTATTTATGCTGTTTATTGTATGTTATATAGTAAAGGTTCAATAAAAAATATAGTTTATTTTAATTTATGCAACTGAAATATAGTTTGTTTTATTATTATTTTTATTTATATTATTTATTAACGAACTTATTGTGATAAGCATTCAACTACTTTTGATATAAGAGTTACTTTAACTAATTGCGGGCATTGCATTCTACATCGTATGACCATTATTTTAAGCTCTGTATATTTATTTGTTAGACGGCATAGTGATTAAAGTTTTTTCCTGTATTATTAGTTGAGGATTGGGGGAGGGAGGGGGGAGGGAGGAGAGGAACGAAAGAGGGTGGGGATGTGATATTGGAAATCTCTGGGGGGATGTGTGACATTTAACCGTTTTAGACCCTAAAGTGAGAATGGTATGGAGAGTTGGTGCCCGACAGTCTATCAAAATCCTCGTTTCTTTTTAAACCAACCAGTCATTCACCCAATCGTCCATTCACGCTAAAACTTTTCCCTTTCCCTTTCCCTTTCCCTTTTTCTTTTTTTTTTTTCTTTCCTCGACCCTCTCTCTCTATCCATGTGAGTTTTTACTATTCGCACACCAAACAACAACTCACGCACGTTATTCTGAAATCATACGACATTTTAGCCAATGAGAAACGGCAATATTTCCACGAAATGGAAAAACCAAGCAAAAAGGTTTACGAGGAAAAAAAAAAAGTATTGGAATTAAGTTTTTGTTTGAGGGGAGGGAGGAGGTGAGGGAGGGGGAGAGGGAAGGGGGAGGGGGGGGGGAGGGGAGATGACAAAGTAGAGACGGGGGTTGGTCGTCGAAAGTCGATTTATCTATACATGGCCACCCAGCCATAATCCACTCGATTCCGTCTTCGGAATATCGACCTCGTATGAATTAGCTGAACATTCGACCTTGCACACTCGATATAGCATAAACATTGGTTATACGGTTTTCCCCCAATTGCAAAAGATATAGCGTATGTGCACTTTACAGTTTAAACACAGATAAGGTAGATAGTTGTACTAACATCATGCCAAGTCGAATGAAGCTTCGAAAATCATAATCTGCAAGTGACTTTGCAGCAGCCAGTATACCATTCCGGGAAACATATATAGTGTTGTGACAATTCAAAAAGACCAATTGATGTCAATAAACTATCGAATATCAATCAACTTTAAAGATATCCCGACTCTCTTTAAACATTCACCACTACCCCCCCTCCCCTCTTTCATATGTTGGATCCAATTATATTCGCTCAGAATGACACCATTATGCAATGACATTACAGCTTTATGTATAACATAGTGTCTATATCTGCTGATGGTTTTATTATCAATCAGTGGCACCACATTGCTGTCCAAGACAAGCACAGCGAACATACCCCATATGGTTATGTTGTTTGATTAGAGAGAGAGAGACGAGATATTGTGTTACATGCATATCTGCCAATCGATTCAAAGAGAGAATCTGAGAAGGATAAAGAACATGAGGCGGGTATAAACAGGTGATCTCAGATGATTTACAACAAAGGGCTATTATATAATGTAATGTCTGTATACATGTATGAGACGGATGTCCTGTGTATGTAGAGGAGAGGCAGACGTCTATAACAGGACTTGTTGCGATTGAGACCTACCACACCACACACACACACAAACACACACCCAAAACCGAAACACCAACATTTCTTGGCCTGGTAACGCAGACGAAAGAATCATGTGCACCGAGTTTACTCGGGACCTTGCAATAAGCCACAACTGTTATACATTTGCTACACACAGAAAATATGCTTACGTTTTGGTTACATTATTATACGATGCTTACACTATACTTGTACTTTTTTTACACTTAATAGCAAATCACTATTTACCATTCTTACTATTATGGTTGTATTAGTAGCTGTATACTCCTGTGATTTCAGCTCAAACAGGTATAATTGCTGACGCCAATCTGTGTCATCAGCACACTTAAAATCATTTATAAAGGTATAAATATTTAGATATTAATACAATCAACTCTATTTTTGCCATTGAGTGTTTTATTACTATTATTAAGATTACTATTATTATTCTACTATAATTATTATGTTTATTCTGAACCCGCACATTATTGTTATTGCAAACATGTGTGTATTTTCTTTGACCGTTACCCACCCTTTCTTTAACTTTTTTTCTCTTCTTCTCAGCGAATTGATTATGGTTTAAGCGATCGTTTAACAAACACCTTGAATCACACCCAAATTTACCATTCTAGTCGACATAAACAACCCTTTGCTCGGAACTTATTGTTTATTTGTATAAGATAAATCTCATGAGAAGAAGCCCGGAAAAAAACCGACTTTTATATGTATTTTATATAAACAAGTTTTATTACGTTACTTATTCGGCATCTCACATTCGGTAGGCTCCGGTTATCGGCTAATGTATGTTTAATGTATTACGTAAGAAAAAGCCTGTCGTTAGTGATCCAGGACCTGTTGACACATTTGATGGGGCTGTTGAGGTGCACTGTCCAACTGCTGTAAATGTCTGAATATGTCGGGTGAAAAAAAAAAAGCATGTTCGATTGAGAAAACCCGGGAATTAAGAAAAGGGGGAGGAGGGACAGAGGTTCGGAGAGACGAAAAAGCAAAAAGGAAAAGGGAAAACGAAAAGGAAAAGCAAAAGGCATATATTGTATGACTAGGTATCAAGGTAAAAGAAAAGAAAGAAAAGAAAGAAAGAAAGAAAGAAAAAGGACCAAGACATTTAAGGTATAATGTCATCGCGCAATCTTAGCCCGAAATGCTGTGGTATAAATAAATAACTAACTGAATAGTTGTTACAAGCCTATGAGCTTTATAGGTACCACCATGTGTGCTACAGTTAACGTCATAGATTTACGCTCAGACGTACAAATGATGTAACTTCTAATAATTGTCGTCCTAACTGGCTATTAACACAACCATTAAAGTTTGTTTTTAATATTTAAAGGGTATTAGATCTAATATGTTCTCCGAGTTCATATTTAATCCAGGAATGACGGGAAACTTTGGAGAAAAAAAGAGTTTTTTTTTCTTCTCTTACTTGAGCTGAATTACAAACTTAAATGGACATATTAAAGTAAACATACACGCACTGTGATAATAATAACAAACAGCGGTGATGATGGGCGGATGATGGCGGACGATGATGATGATGATGGATGGTGATGATGACGGTGATGATGGTTATAGCAGTAGTTGTAGTAGTAGTAGTAGTAGTAGTTGTTGTTGTTGTTGTTGTTGTTGTTGTTGTAATTGTTGTTGTAATTGTCGTTAGTAGTAGTTGTAATTGTCGTTGTAGTTGTAGTAGTAGTAGTCGTCGTCGTCGTTGTTATTGTTGTAGTTGCTGTTATTGTTGTAGTAGTTGCTATTGTTGTTGTTGTAGTAGTTATCGTTTGTCGTTGCTATTGTTGTTGTTGCAGTCGTTTGCATGCATCGCCTTATTGAATTGATCAGTTAATATGTTTATAATGAAGCACATGACACATGTACACATGGACTACATGGGATATATGATATGTGGGATACGTCCATGGCCTTTTTTATGCCCCTTCCCTTGTGTAGGGGTCTCCTCGATCACACGGTTTAGATATAATGATCGTGAATGTGTCGAGATACGTAATTGGTTAGAATATACGTTAAAAATTATAGTATAATACAATAATACAATATATGCAGTATGTATATAATATATGGCCATATACAATTATAATGGTTTAATAAAAGCATGCTTTCCTGTCATACAAGCACCAGATGATTATTTTAGAAACATTTACTACGCCTCTCTTATGTAAACATTTTAGCTGAGCTTATGAGAACGGACCATGCCATGCATATTTTGTGGCATATCTTAAAATGCTCATTTTTATTGTGAAATCTATTCTTATCAGGACCATCCATACGTCGTCGTCGTCATTCACCACGTTTTCTTGTCAATGACGCTGTCATAGAAAAGAGAGAGAGCGCCAAGCAAACAATATGAACAGCCTCATCACCTTCGATGCCTGGTTCTCCGAAGTTTTCTAGCGCCATGGCTTTGATCTAATCGACTGTTGTTATGTTTCGCTCTAACGCGAAAAAGATGCATACAAAAACGGAACTTAATCAAACCATAATTGGTACACATCAATAATCAGCAAAGAACCCGGTTCACAACAAATAAGAAATGATCGACCAAAAGTGTATATTTGCCGAATGGGAACCGACTTGCAGCAAAAGCAAAAAGGTATTAACGGTAAATAAATGAAGTTTTGTAACAATAAATAAATAACAATGTTTGAAAGTAGTTGCGGTACCAGTTCTTATTACCGCCCATCACGATCATGATTGCCATTATAATTATAGTGTCTATGTATATTACTATATATTACTTTGAAAACATTATAATCTATGGGTATATTTCCTGTTTCATGGTGATTTGCATTCATTGTTTGTTCGGTAGCCGAACACTTGCATGGCATGGGAAGAAACAGGAAAAAAAATATAAGGAATAGAACGAAAAAAGAAAGAAATCAAAAATAATAATCGAAAGGGACATGCGATATGATGTGATGTGATGAGTTGGTTTAGTTTCCAAGCTATTAGTATTAGTCAGGTGTGATCTCGTGATGCAGTACTTATAATGAGTTTTTCAAATAGTTTAATAGACTCGGCCTTTTTTTTTTCTTTTACATCATCGAAAGATCTTATGGAAAACATGTCATCTTGCCACATAATGAAAACAAAATCACCATCTTCTATTCGAAATCATTTATTAGTAAACCCATGACAACAAAGAAAACTTTCATGTGTTTCGTACAGTATTATTTCTACAATTCCAGTTTAGCGAGATTTTTGTACTGTTTACAACTTGCAGAAATGCATGCATTTTTTTCTCGGCCTCTATTCTTTGACAGGAACGTTGTTTTGGCACTAGTGCAAAAGGAGAAGCATATAATTCCATGGTTGAAAGAAAGGGTTGTCTGATGTTATTACAAGACTATGGTTGTTATTCTATGTTCTTACTACCGGAATTGGTTGTATGTACATGTTCGTACATGTATATATGTGTGTGCGTATGTGTGTATGTGTGTATGTGTGTATTGTATGTGTGTATGTGTGTATGTGTAGTATATGTGTATATGTGTATATGTGTTGCCTCTCGACTCTATCGTGTGGTGTGGCCTTGTTGACTTATTGTGTTTGACTATTGTGTGTGTGGCCCTTGACTCTATTGGGTTTATTTTGCCTTAAATTTGCCATTATTGCCTTATTATAAGTGCCACTATATATTATTTATCTTACAAATCAATTGCAGCCATATGAAAATCAAACTTTAACTCATAAACACTCGGATTCGATGCTAACCTTGTAATGGGACGACTTTTTTTTTTCCGGTTCTTATCGCTTAATCCGCTGATGATTTTCTTATCAGGTGGTCTCCTTTGTACCATAGTCAGATAACCAATATGGTCATGCCTTGCAGATAAGAAAGTCATTATCAAAGCAAACAGGTTTTTTTTCGGGGGGGATACGCAGTAGAGTAGAAAGTAAAAGTAGCAAACAACAATGAACAAACCCATGCGTAGACATTGTCTCTCTCTCTCTTTCTCTCACTCGCTCACTCTCGCTCATCCACTCACTCATCCACTCACTCTCTCTCGTATACTCCCCGTTACATACCACCATTCTACAATCTCATCTCACTTTTTTTTTCTTCCCTCATGTAGTAAGTATTACTCATTGGCTTATGCATGTCTAATAAGTATGCGGAACTAGAACAGGCAGATTACGGTTAGCCAACACATAACAACACACAACAACACATAACAACACATAACAACATACAATAACAACAATAGGAACAATAAATAGTGGAAAATCGTCTTGTTTATTTTTATTATATTCCATTCATTATTGAGACTATTTACTATTATCGCTACCGTTTCAGTTATTCACAAATACTCTCACCCGCTGTCACTTTTGTCAAATTTACTTTACACTAATTAGAAAACTAACATTGCGCCATTCCCTTCAAGTTAGGGCGAGATGTGAACTCTTTAGCCTCTTTTACACTAAACGCTGGGCATATTCGGTCTCATTTTTGAAAAATTGGGTTTCTACTCTTTTTCCATTCATCCAACACATATCCGTATATACACATCACACATACACATCCGTATATACACATCCGTATATACACATCACACATACACATCCGTACATACACACCTAATACATATCCATCCACACCCACCCACCCACTCAACCTATCCACACTCAACCTATCCACACACACACCCCCTCCCTTTCTTTCCCTTCCAAACACCCCCTCGACTAACAATTCCTTATCACACACTTTGTAATCACCACCCCCTACCATTTTTGCCGATTATTCCGCCCATCCTTCAACTCGCTCTATTTTGCGTTACGATCCTATTGACAAAAAGAGTTTATCATACAAAAGTACGCTCCACAACCATCGTATACGTTTAAAAATGAAATCTTTCGTTCCTTATTCTTATCTTTTAGTTGTACAATATAATACCCCGGTAGGATAATTCACCATATATGGACTATCATGTATGTAACTCACAACGAAAGGTATAACGGTCAAGCATGATGGTCATGCCTGTACGAATGTACAAATTAAGTATAGCTGTGTGTGAGAGAGAAAAGGACTAGAACGTTTCGTATGCCAAGAAACGTCTAAACGGTTAGAAGAAGAAGAAGAGGAAGAAGAGGAAGAGGAAGGACAATTACAACAATTACAAAACAATTGGTGTGTGTGTGTGTGTCTTTGAACTTGTTAAAATTCTAGAGCGGATTACATGTTTTCGCATATGACTAACGGAATTTTACACAAGTAACATCAACACTATTTACTGTATATTAATATTTATGTACCACATTGGTTTAAGATAAGGGGGGGGTGTTAGGTATAGTATAGTATCGTATAGTATAGTATAGTGTAGTATAGTATAGCATGGCATAGCATAGCGATAAGCCCGCCTCATTAAAACTGTCATACAGTAAGTCCCATTTACTACAATTCTGAGCCAATATCATTATCAATCCACACTATCGCTAACGTTATTATATACATCATTCTCTTAATCATCCAGACATCCAGACATCCAGTCATCAGTCATCGTCATCTTTTACTATGGATACGTTTCAGTAGCTCTTTGTATTATACATTACCAGGGCTGCACTCTTTGCCGATCAGCATAAGGCTGTGGAATGTATTGTCGCACACAGATGAAATACACCACATCCCCCTTTCCTTCAATTCAATAATTGAAAAAGCGAAAAGACTCTATAACCCGTCTTATCGAAAGAAAGAAAAAGCCCTCCCTGTAACAATCGGACAATTCAATGATGTGAGGTGTGAAAGGATAAACTGTGATTGAATGAGGACGGGGGGAGTGAAGAATGGGGAGAAAAAAAAAGGGGGGGGTGTTTTTCCATATCAACTGCAATTAAATGCATTGTTGCATGCAAGGAACTTGTTGAGCCCATATAAATAATATGTTTGATTGTGGAAAAAAATGCGTGCGACCAGTACAATGCAAGTTTTTTACTTGGCTCGAAAATGAGCGTGTATACAAAGAAAAGATGTACGTACACACAATTCGCAATTAACAGACTCTGGACTTGCCTTTATCCCGTTGTACTTGCTGGCAGTCATATCATTTGTCCATTGATTGATGATCGCTTTACACGCTACCATTCGGTTGCAATTTATTGGACCCCCCTCAACGTATATTTTGCGGAATGCAAAAGCACTGATTTATCGGCGAGTTTGTATGTGTTTGCGTTCCCTATGAAAAAGTCCATCTTTGGCAAATGTTTACTGTGGAGGGGGACCGGGGTACTCTACCCCAGCCATTGAAGAAATGAGAGTACCAACGCAGGCCCGTATGACTGACTGGATGTGTGTAGACAATAGAAAAAACAATGCTCTGCACTGCATTGATAAAAATAATACATGTATATTTTAATTTGGACTTGATTCAGTTCAATTACCGGTGGGTCAGCTGGGTCAGCAGGAATTCTCCCCTCGTTTTTTTTTCTCTCTCCCCACTTTTTCTCCCTCTGTCTTTCTCTTTTCCCCAAACCCCAACCCCACTTTCTCTCAGTCTCCCCCCTTCTCTCCCCTCATCATACGATGTTTAAACATACGATGTTTAACATACGATGTTTAAGATCCCGGAGTACCATCATCAGCATTTCCGTCCGAACTTAGATGTAATACAAGATTATCATCTAAACAGTCTAGATGGTGGACTGTGTTATATGTGTATGCGTTATGTGTTTCAATTGGGCTTTTTTTGTGCATATATCTTCGACTGTTTATAGATTAGCAAGGTTTTGTCTTACGGAATGACCGATAACTCACCTGGGACCAAAATCATCTAAAAGATCTATATTTGGAATTTCCGAAAGGGTGGGATGTGGGGTAAAAAAAAATTGAAACAAGTTTTTTTTTCCCTTATTGTAAAGAAGGGGGGGGGGTCAATTCGAGTGGTCAACATTCAACAATACGGGCCCATGGTAGTTGTGTCTTGATGTCATATTACATGAAGAGAGAGAGAAAAGAAAAGAAAATGTCATTAGAAATGTTTCCCCCCCCCCCCGCTTTCCTATTCCCTCTTTTTCTTCATCTCCATTAACGAGATGAACTCTCGATTGATGCAGATTGAGCAGATCTAATTTGTAAAACCATGCTATTCCCAATTCTACCATTAACCACTCAGTACGTAATTAATAATGAGCTCGCATAACTTGGACATTGTATGCAAGCTCCCCTCTTCTCTTTGAAATTCGGTGTTTTTTGTATAATTTATAAGGATTTTTAATTAATGTCATTGTGTTATGGGACATGCAATATACAATTATACAACAACATACAACACATACAACAACATACAACACATACAACAACATACAACACATACAACAACATACAACATATACATACATACACACATACACACATACACAACACGCAACATACATAGCATATAATTATATAATACATAGTTTAATAT